GGCTAGACTGACAGCAGCTCATTGGCTAATTTGTACACGTGCAGCCTGCTGCCGGAAGCTCTGCAGGGTTTTACCGTAAAAACAGCAAAAGTGGCGCATGTGAAATTAGACACCGTCGTCGGGCCAACATGCAGTAATTTATAAATGTTTTAAATGAGGTTGGGTCTGGATTAGCCAATCTGTAAACCTCTGTCATAAAGGAATGAGTAAAATCTGTGAAATTTAAAAAATAATTACATTTTTTGTTTTCTATTTCTCTTTACAATAATAAAAAAAAAACCTCATATAATGAGCACCACATTTTAAAGTTGTTGCTGTGGCCCAGAATAAAATGGTTTTAGAACTTAACTCAGTCAGAATTTTAGACATGATAGAAATCCTGCGTCATCCATGGAAACCGCAGCACAGAGACATGAGATTTGGAGAGAAAATAGAGTAAATGGTCTGTTTTTGTAATGCTCTTCATCAGTTCCAAGGACTCGCACTACAATCACAATAACACACATTCACATGCTGGCCACCAACTTTTCATAAGACACATGGTTGTAGAGCAGGGGCTTGAACCAGCAACCCACTGGTTTCAGGGCCAACCTTCTGAGCTGAGATTTAAAATCAAATTTTTCAGGATTCTTGAATCTTGTGAGATCTGCACCCTCTCCTAATTAGTGAAAACAACCAGTTTGACAAACAAGCACATAAATAGGCCTGTTTTTCTTTTTTTCTTTTTAAATTTATCTCATTTTTGTCAAAAAAAAAAAAAAACTAAAATCAGAAATTAGAACCATTTTATCCTGAGGCTAGCTAAATAAAGGTTTAAAGCCACAAATATAGTATGACCTTTTAATAAAACCCAACTTATTAAATTTGTTAAATATGTGCTGTAGGAAATGTAATTAAAATTTTGAGTTTTAGCAAAAAGAAAATTGAAGCATTTCATAAAAGGGAAGTGGGAATTTTCTTTGATTAGATTTTTTTTTGGTGTGTTGAAAAAATATTCAGGCGAATTATAAGATTATTATACATATTGCTGGTTCTTAAAATATTGTTTAAAAAAAAAAAAAAAAAATCAAAATTTCTATTAAAAACCCTCTCAATCTGCTAAGACTTTATTTGTTATTATACTGTATTCAATCATTTTTAAAAGCCATTGTAGGCGATCTAAAGAACAGGATATGGCTCCGGAGCCTCGGGTTGCAGATCCCTCCTCTATATAGTGTTTTAAGCTAATTTCTAATATAAATGCGGTCAGGATAGACCCAACCACCCAAAGACTGAACCTGATATCTGTTTTCAGATCACACAGAAGCTGAACAGCCCATGGAGACACACACACCTGTGAGTAACACACACACACCTGTGAGTAACACACACACACACACACACTGTAGGATCCCTGCAGGAGCAGCTGACTAAACCTGAATCCTCCTGCAGGTCCCTGAAATCCCGCATGAGTTCAGCCTGGCAGAGAACCTCCAGGTAATGTCTGGACTCAGACTCCCAGCATGCTTTGCTTCAATCTTTGGCACTTCTGAGGTTTTACACTTTTAAAAAGATTCCTCCTATTTAGCTTGGTTCTTGTTGTGTATTTCTTAGTTTGTTGTTCTGATTGTTGTAATACCAGGCGGTCCAAAAGCGTTCTTATAATGAGGCAGAGAGGTAAATAAAGTCTGGACTGTTTTTTATTTTTTCTTTCTCAGAGGACGACGGAGAACGAGAAGCTCTCAAAGCAGATGGTGGAACTGCTGGCGCTCCCGACCCGAGCCTACCTGGACCAGACCGTGGTTCCCATCCTGCTGCAGGGCCTGGCAGTGCTGGCCAAGGAGAGGTGGGTTCACACACGTGAACCGTCCAATCAGAGATCCGGGTTGGTTTTAAAAGTCTGGGTCTTTTCTCTCCTCAGGCCGTCGAAGCCCATCGAGTATCTGGCCATGTATCTGCTGAAGAACAAATCCCAGTTTGAGGACCGGAATTAAAGCCTCTGCCGCTCCTGCTTGTTTATGATCCGTGTTTTTCGTTTTGTTTGTTTTTAAATCTAGAATAAAAAAAAAAAAAACCTTGTGAACAATCGCTGCCTTCTGGTGGAACTTCCTCTTCGTTTACTTATTCTCTGATTAAAGCTCTGCTGATGATGAGGAGAAGAGTCTTGATTCTGATCGGGTTACACGGGAGGTCTGTTGCAGCTTCCGCACAGAACCCGTCAGAACGTGAACCGGGTCGGAACCAATTATCTCTGTAGTGATGTGATGGAAAGAATCCTGAATCTTTATTGTTTTTGGGTGGTTTAACTGGTTGCCCTCAAGCACAGTAAGGAGGGAACATGTTAAACTGTTCTGGACTTTTATTCTGAAAGGGCCAAAATGCCATGACATCAGTGAAACATGTTCCTGTGGAGTCAGCCGAAGAGGGACGACGAGGATGAAACTCATCAATTCCTAAAATGATTGTTTAGACTGCAGAGAAATCCAGAACTACATGTAGGATTCTGTTCTTATAAGCAGACCTCTGATCTTCTGTTGGGTCAAAAAAGGATTAGACAGATGTAGCCTGACAGGAAGTGATCAGGTGACATCATCTTTGGGGCCAATATAAATGCTCCAGATTTTGCTTCTCAGATTTTCTTTCACAGTTGGTTGTTTTTGAAGACTTGAAAGGAGCCGGGCCTCTGGCTGGACCGCCCTGAACTTTCAAAGGTTAATTAAGATCACGTTTGAAGAAGCTGGTGATCGGGTTCCACGTACTTTTGGTTAAAAGGTCCAAATTACATCCAGTCTTTGTCGTGTTTAAGAACTCCTAAAATCTCAGACAGCAGCTCTTGTTCCAGTTAAATTCATTTAATTTGAACATTTACAGAGAAATAAGAGCTGAAAGGGTTCATAAAAAAAAAGGCAAACCCAGAAAATCAACATTCCGATATACGGAGACCCAGATGGGTCAATAATATAAGAAACTTTTCATCACATGTAAATAATGAACTAGGTTTTACAAACGACCAAGTTAATTTCATTTTTTGCTTTTAGTTCTTCCAGGGAGGCTTTTATTTTGAAATTGAGTTCTCTGGTTAGACAGATGATAGTGTAGTAAAATATTTAATTCTTTAAGGATAATATCTAAAACAGCTTGTAAACATTACAGGGAAACTACGACTCCCATGATGCTTTTCAACAGGCAGTGTCCAATCCCAGAGTTCAAGTGAGATTACATTTAACAGACTTCTTTGACCTGAGGATTGTGGGTAGTGTATTTGGAGCTGCAGGAGGTCATGTTGGATTTAATCAGATGAAAAGTAAAAAAAAAAAAACCTAACTAACCCTGTGGCCCCACCCACTTTCAGATCCCGGTCGTTGCATATCAATTGGAAACATCCGAGGGCGTCTCCTCTGAAAACGCAGAGCGGAGACCACCAGGTGACACCATAAGGTCAGAGAGCGTATGACATCACTTCCTGCTGCTCAGGAAGGGGTCTTTGTGCGTCACATCGGATGGCAGCAGCAGGCAGATCAGCAGGCTGTGAGACCAACAAGGAGGAGGTGGGCAGGAATGAGGCGGAGCTTCATCTCAGATGTAGAACTGGTGATTGGCTAAGCTGTCCATGAAAGGCTGAACCAGGAAGTCAGTGGAGAAGTAAAAGATGAGGCCAAAGGTGATGGAGATGGGCAGTGCAGGCAGAGCTTTCTTAAAGATGGCCAAGAGGAGCAGCGTCAGGCACAGACCCTGCGGGTGAAAAAAACAAACAAAACATCAAGTTTGTTAATCTGATTCATTGCATGAATAATGTTTACTATTAACTAAAAGTCTTATTTTTTTCCCGCTTGTTTTCTTTATTCACCTTAACGGATTATTTTGTGTTTTTTAATGTTAATTTAAGCATTAAGATGGAAAAATATACGCAAATGTATATTATGATCACAGCATTGCTAATATTGTAATAGTACTTGCACAAAAAAGTCAACGGCAGATTATTTAATCCTATAGGAATCCTGTGGAGAGAAAGCAAAAGCTGAGATATGTGCTTTGGTTTTGTTAGCACCTGTTGAAGACGAGCTGCTGCATTTTGGAAACTGCATAGGTTAACGATTTATCTAATTCAAGCTACAAGATCATGTCCTAAATTGTACATCTTATTGGCGACCCCAAAAGAGTAATTAGATGTATTTTTAGCGGACGAAAACCGCCAGCCGCCAGAATCAGTTCAGAATTTTCACCGATCACAGTTTTACCAACAGGAAAAATAGAATAAATCACTGAAGACAAACAGGATTCTCACAAAGCCGTTGCCAATACATCTACACACATTCACACATCTAAGCAGTTTAAAGTCATAATTTCCTTATCTCTAATTAAATAGAAGACCCTTTAATTACTGGTGAGGCATAACTGTCCTTCTCTCCTATAATACAATAAAACTAGTTCTAAAAATACATTAATTCTGTATTTCCCTTAATTAATGTTAGTATAATGATGTTTATTAGTTACTGTATTTTTATTGTCAGCATATTAACAGTTTAAATGTCAAATACGGTAAGTAAAGACATTCCACGTGTGAGTTTCACTGCTGCCACCCTGTGGTTTAAAAGGGGAACTGCTTGTTCTAGAGCTGGAGAATTTCCTCCAATTTGAACACATCATTTGCCTGGGGTGGACATTTCTAATCCATTAAAAAGTTCAAAGCATTTAGAAAAATTGAAATTGGGAAAAAAAAAGGAAATACAAAAATAAACTGAAAATCATTGTAATGTAAAAAAAAAAAAGCTTTAAGTAACTTAGCATTTTATTTTAGTAACTTAGCATTTTCTTTCTTTGATTTTATTTCCTTTTATTTAAAAAAAAAATCAGAAAATTTGAGATTCAAATTTTTTATATTCATGTTTTATTTTTTTCAAATGTCTATTTTTCTACAGTTTTTTTTTTCAATTTCTCTTTGCTAGGTGAAGTTTCATGATTTAAATTATTATCAAAGACAAATACAAAACACCCCACTTGCTTTGACCAATAAAAATGTTGTTGCTAATGTCCAGCAGACCAATAGAAATGCGTCTTCCCTCTTCACTCCAGAGGAAAGCCCGCCCTCAGAAGTAAAGAGAATGTAATCTAAAAAATGAAATTTGGTATGAATCCAATTCATAAGACTAAATCTAAAAAAACAGAAACAAAAAAAATATATATTTTCTTAATTTTATTGAAATCTGAGAAATAAAATTCATATTGAAAATATCTCGAAATCTGAAAAAAAAGACCTTTTTTATAAATAAAAAGTCATGGTCTCTTCAAATTTCTGTATACAAATCTTGTTCTTTGCAAAACAAAAAAAAAATGGAATAAAAGTCACTCCATACATTTGTCTGTTTACAGCATTCTAAAACTGCCTCACGCTCTGACTCAGCACGACTGCCAGTTAACCTGCACGCACGGATGCACGAGCCATAGCGCACACAAAAGCTCCTCCGACGACGTACAGGAAACATGAGAATGCAGCAAAGAAAAAAAAATACGACGGCTTCACGGGGGACACACTTCAGGGGAAATTTTCTATGTCCAGAAATCCTTTAATGGGTTTCTTTTCACGTCTCTTTTCAAAACCTTCCAAGGCCTTAAACTTACTCTTTGAAATAAAAAAAAATAAAAAATGTCCACGAAAAACCAGAAACAGACACAAAAATCTGCATTCAATGTTAAAAGCAACAAAAAGAAACCAAAAACAGTTGAATCAGTAGGTTATATCTAACCACAGATCACAGAACTGCTTTTAACAGAGAACTCATGAGGAAAGTCTACATCCAAGGCAACAGTTATTGTGACTGGCTGAACAACCAAACTACTCTTTGGAAAGGCAGAGGAAATAAAATTATTGATCTTTTCCTGTGCTTATCAGCCTCCTTAAACCTGAAAACTTTGATTTGAAGTCCTGTTGTTTTAACACCTCCTCTTTATGATTGTTTCCTCATCCAGGGATATTTACCTAAACATGTGCTTCTGACCCTGAAGAAAAAACCCAGAAAATCCTGATGCCCTCTGCCTCACCAGGGGCATCAACACAAACCCCTGCAATCAACAACAACAAACATTCAGCTAAACTCACCTCAATACACTTAATTATGAATCCATTCAGTTTGATTAAATCCAGGAGCATCAAACCTTATGTAATCAAAACCTAAACGATTAACCTGAACTACATTTAGCTTTAAAACAATGATGGAAACAACCTCAATCTAATAGAACAGTAGATAATATCTGTTTTGTCTCCTGTAGAGTTTAACTCTCACCAGTCTGAGTATTAACTATCAGAGGGTCATGTCGATCTAACCAAGAATGAAATGTGGGATCGGCAGATTAACTCCTAACGAGTCAGGAGTGCTGGAATCTGAGGTGGATAATCTGTAGACAATCACACATCTGTTTGTATATCCAAGTAATGGTGTGTTTAACTGTCACCAGCTGGTACCGGTTCTAGGGGTGTAAATAATAATCGTTTTGTATCGATGCATCGATCCAACAGCCGACAATCCGATGCATCGACACGTCCGCAAGAGTATCGATTCATGTTTTTTTTTCCTCCGGTCTATTTTTATCGTAATTCTCCTCCCGTGCTGCGGTGGCGCTAAACCTATTTTGCCCTCCTACCTCGCTTCCTGGTTATACTCTTACATTAGTTTGTTGCAGTGAGCTTGACACAGACATTTTTAAATTATGCTCAATATTGAAGCGTGGTCTGAGCTACACACTGTGGGTCTAGATACGGCCGAGGCGGAGAG